ATGCATGTTCTCTCTCTCTCTCTCTCTCTCTCTCTGTCTCTCTCTCATCTCTCATCTCCATCTCTCTCCCATTATTTTGAGCACACATGTTTTCTGTCTCTCTCTCTTGCTCTCTATCTCTATTTTGAGCATGCATGTTCTCTCTCTCTCTCCTCTCTCTATCTCTATCTTGAGCACACATGTTTTCTCTTGCTCTCTATCTCTATTTTGAGCATGCATGTTCATTCTCTCTCTCCCCCCGTCTCTCTATCTCTGCTTTGAGCACACATGTTCTCACTCTATTGATCTCTATCCCTCTCTCTAGTTATCTCTCCTCCAAGTTATTCTGAGGTACATGGGCATGTGGTAACCATCCACCCCCCTCCAGATCACAATGGACAGTGGGACATTCTCCAACTCCCCTCTCTGCCTAGACATAGCACATGCAGCTTCTCCTCCAGAGTCTCGCTGCTTTCCCAGGCTCTATTCAGGAAGCAGGACACAGATCCCCTCTGTTCTCAGATCCTACAAACCTACATGGGGTCCTGTCTTTGGATGAGGGAGCTGTAGGCATGGGTCCCCTTTCTCAGGGACCTGCAGCATCTTCTCTGTGTTCCTCTGCATCCTTCTTTTCCTTCGAGTCTGAGGAATCTTTTCTAATCTCATTATTTATTGTCTTAAGGCTAGGATTATCTCCTGAATTTTTAGAAAACTCAAAAGCTAAGAGAACTGTCATTTGCTCTGCTTCTGCTGAGGCAATACATGTGGAGCAGACTCGCTTGAATGGGAGAGGGGCTGTTGGAGCAAAGGAACCTTGGGGACCATGTTAATATTTCAACATAGAATCTTGCCAGGCCTGGAGGAAACATGACAGAATGTTAACAAGAGTGCTGTTTCAGAAGAAGGAGCCATACGTGAATGTTTCTTATTTGTACTTTTCTGAATTTTACATAGTTTCTAGAATATGTTTTACTATTATCATCACACACAAAATCAGTTTATTCCAGTTCAGTTGTAGTCTGTTTTTTGTTTATTTGTTGAGTCAGAGTCTCACTCTATCGCCCAGACTGGAATGCAGTGGCACGCTTACGACTACCACAGTCTCCGCCTGCTGGACTCAGGCAATACTTCTGCCTCAGCCTTCCAAGTAGCTAGAAACACAGGCGCGTGCCACCATACCCAGCTGATTTTTTGGATTTGTTGTAGATGCGAGGTCTCACTACGTTGCCCAAGCTGGTCTCGAACCTTCGGGCTCAGGCTGTCTTCTTGCCTCCACTTCCTAAAATGCTGGGATTACAGGCATGAGCCACCACACCCGGTCCATTTGCAGTCTGTATTCTACGTAATTTAAATTTATTGATGAGTAATAACTATGAATGCAAGCATAATTAACACAAAACAATTCTTTTTTTTTTTTTAGTTGGAATCTCACTCTGTCACCCTGGCTGGGGTGCAGTGCCATGCTCACGGCCACCGCAGCCTCAACCTGCTGGGCTCAGGTGATCATTCTGCCTCAGCCTTCCAAATAACTGGAACTACAGCCACACACCACCCTGCCCATCTAATTTTTTTATTTATTGTACAGACGAGGTCTTGCCAAGCTGTCCAGGTTGGTCTCAAGCCCGTGGACTCAGGCAAGTCTCTCACCTTGGCCTCTTAAAGTGCTGAGATTATAGGCGTGAACCACCGTGCCTGGTCAACACAACATAATTCTAAAACAGATGTGCAATGTACAAAACATAAAGGAGAGTTCCTTCAAATTCTCACTAGCCTGGGTCATTTTCTAAAGTGGCAAGTAATCACTTTTGCTATAAAGTTAACACTACTATGTCAATTTGGGGTATCAAAACACCTAAGCATGAGGGAGCAGTCAAGCAAAGCAAGAACTTTATGAGGTACATGTTTCTGTTTTTGTTTTGTTTTGTTTGGAGACATGAACTCACTCTGTTGCCTAGGCTATAGTGCAGTGGCACAATCATAGCTCACTACAGCCTCAAACTCCTGAGCTGAAGCAATCCTCCCATTTCAGCCTCCCAAGTAGCTGGGACTATAGGTCTGAGCCACCATGCCTGGCTAATTTTTTTTTTTTTTTTTAAAGAGATGGAATCTGGCTATGTTGCCCAGGCTAGCCTCAAGTGATCCTCTCAACTCAGCCTCCTGATAATGCACATATTTCTAAAAGAACCACTTGTGCCTTGAAGCATTTGGGTTTTCTACGGCTGCATTTGGTAGGAATGTGATTAAAGGGTATCTTAGATTAGGTACATGAAAGCAGAGCCTGAGACAGGCATTCTAATTCCAGTGATGTGTTGGGAAGTACTCTCTAGGAGGAGGGGATTGAGGGAAGCAAGATGAGGCAGGAGAAGGAGCCAAGTGAAGAAAAGTCCCAGCTGGAGACTGGCTTCAGCCTGGTCCCACTGGGACGTCTGTAGCACACACTGCACCACAGAGTTCGCACCACTCTAAGGTCAAGGGGCTGGTTTTCTGTCCTCCCATATCACTCAGGCTGGCTGAATCCTAGAAAACCTGGTCTGTCTTAATGTGAAATTACAGTCACAAAAATCCCTAGCTTGGGCTCTGCTTCTAGGAGACTCAGCCTAAGACAGTGATGTGTAGTTCAACTGAGTGGTCCAAGCTGGAAAAGGACCAGGAGGTGGCTGTCGGTAGACACACACTCAATGAAAACATGAACACGCCTTGGATATGACCACGAGCAAAGGGTTGGGACCTGGAGAAGGGTCCTGGAGTGACCAACCTGGGATGTCCCCTTCCCCTCAGGCTCTGGCCTGGATATACAGGTCATACTAAGGCCGAGGATGAGATGTTCTCCAGACCTGCCTACCATCTTGCGGCTGTGCCCCGTGAATACTCTCAACACCCTTCCTTGAGGCAGACCAGTTCGGGCCTGCCTGGACCAATGCTCATCATCTTTGGTGACCTTTAGTTCATTATAATACTAAAAATCCCACCCCTAGAGAGAATTCACAGCCATTTTGTGTACATGCGATGGATGTGAAGGTATTTTCTCACACTGCGCCTGCGCACTAGAAACTACCCTTTCCACACTGAACCCTGTACTCTGCACGATGGAAAATGCCATACAACCTGTGTGCTTTTCACCATCCGGAGGACTTTGTTCCTGTCCAGCCAGTCGCTTCCGGACCGCCTTCCCTGTAAGTAGGCTCCTGAATAAAGCCTGTGTCTCGTCCATTGTCTCCGGGTCGCTTTTTTGGCCTCTCGGACACAGTGCTCTCCCTTTGGGGGCCTTTGGAAGTCTGGCATGACGGAGGCTGACAGGGAGAGAGCCTGAGGGATAGAGGCACCACGTAGCTCAGGGAGCCGGTGTAGGGAGAAGCAGCTGCAGTCAGAGGAAGGATGGAAGGTAATGCGATTCAGAGTGTGAAAAGGTCCCAGGCATGGCCATGCAGTGATGCTGTGGCGCTACGGTCTCTAGAGAGATGCAGTCCCTGAACTGAGACGCTGCAGTGCTCGCTGGGCTGCCCTGTGGACACCGAAGACACCAATGACGATGCTAAGATTTGGGGTGGAGACCAAGACTGTGGGTCAGGCTACCAAGTCTTCAGTGACTGTGGGGACGTGATCAGGAGAGCCAAGGATGACAAAGAGGAGGAGAAGAATGTGGCAGAGCTGGGCTGCGAGACCCTCAAATCAGCAGGGATTTTTACACAAGGATGAAGGAGAAATTGATGAGCCAACACTTGAACACAGAGTGAATCCTGCCTTCAAGAACCTCTGCAGGGGAGTCTGGGGAGTCTGCCTGGAGCAAGGATGGTTACCATCTCTTTTTTTTTTTTT